TCTTCGCAGGTTCCTGAGTCTCCTCCCATTGAGTGTCATATTGATTCTTCTGCAGTTTCCCCCTCTACTCCTGTCATGACTATTGTACCTTTTGTCTCCACAGCAAATCAATCCACTGTTGTCACTTTTGTGTCTCCTTCCTCCTCCTCTGTTACACCACTTCCTCCTTCTTCCTCTGACTATCAACCTTCAGTCTCAGTTAGTTCTCCTCCTTCTTCCCACTCTATAATTACCAGGTCCAAAGCCTTAGCTCGGTCTCTTGTTTTACTCACCCACATGGAACCTTATTCTGTTAAACAAGCCTTGACTAGTCCCCAATGGCTTGATGCCATGCAAACAGAATTTCGTGCACTTCAGGCTAACAACACCTGGTCTCTTGTTCCCCTTCCTTCTCACAGGAAAGCCATTGGTTGCAAATGGATCTTCAAAGTTAAAGAGAATTCTGATGGCACTATAAACAAGTACAAAGCTCGTCTTGTTGCAAAGGGATTTCACCAACAAGAGGGCTTCGACTATACAGAAACGTTTTCTCCTGTGGTTCGTCCTGTGACAATTCGCATCATGCTCACCTTGGCCCTTACCTATGGTTGGCAGTTGAGGCAATTGGATGTCAACAATGCATTCCTTAATGGTGACTTAGTCGAAGATGTATACATGACTCAACCACCAGGTTTTGAGGTTGCTGACAGGTCCTTGGTGTGCAAACTCCACAAGGCTTTATATGGTCTCAAACAAGCCCCAAGAGCTTGGTTTGACAAGCTAAAAACTGCTCTCACTCATCTTGGCTTTCACAGCAGTAGGTGTGATCCTTCTCTGTTTACTCTTCATCGTGGTCACACCTCCACTTATGTGCTTGTATATGTGGATGATATCATAGTTACAGGGAATGATGCTGCCTTTATTAATCGTTTGGTTTCTGACTTGAATGACAATTTTGCTCTCAAAGATCTTGGACCCTTGTCTTATTTTTTGGGGATTGAAGTCAAGAAGCATCCCACAAGTTCCATTTCTCTCTCACAGTCCAAATACATCAGAGAACTCTTAGCTCGTGCTCACATGTCAGATGCCAAAAGCATGCCTTCTCCCATGAGCACCAGTTGCAAGTTAACAAAACATGGCTCAACCTATTATGACAATCCGTTTCAGTACAGGTCCATCGTTGGTGCCTTACAGTATGCCACGATCACACGTCCAGAGATTAGTTTTGCTGTAAATAAGGTGTGCCAATTTATGTCTCAACCTTTGGTTGATCATTGGAGTGCGGTTAAACGGATATTGAGATATCTTCAAGGCACCATATCCTATGGTCTTCTACTGCAACCAGCCTCTTCACCATCGCGTTTACCTCTTGTAGCGTTTTGTGATGCTGATTGGGCAAGTGACCCTGATGATAGGCGCTTAACTTCGGGAGCATGCCTCTTTCTTGGTCCAAATCTCATCTCATGGTGGTCTAAGAAGCAACACTTGGTTGCCAGGTCAACTACCGAAGCTGAGTATCGCAGCTTGGCTCTTGCTTCCTCTGAAATATTATGGGTTCAATCACTTCTCCAGGAGCTTCATGTTCCCATCACAGTTCCTCACATCTATTGTGACAATCTTAGCACCGTGGCGTTAACTCATAATCCCATTTTGCATTCAAGAACTAAGCATATGGAGTTGGACATCTTCTTTGTTCGTGAACGTGTATTGTCTAAGTCACTTCATGTTTCTCATGTACCAGCTTCTGCTCAACTTGCTGACACTCTCACCAAGCCTCTTCCAGCTCCTCGGTTTACTGAATTACGTGACAAACTCAGTGTTCAGGATACACTTCAACTCCCTCACAGCTGAGTTTGAGGGGGGCTATTAGCATAACAGCTCAGCTAGCGGTTGTATCATCTGTAATGTACACACACTGTACTTGATCCCTCTCCCCATGCAGTTAGAGTTTGTTAGTCAAGTTTGTTAGTCAGTAGAGTTAGTTGCTTGCTGAGTCATCTCTTGAACTCTATAAATAGTCTTCTGTAACACAGTTTACAAGCATGATAGAATCTCTCCTTCTCAAATGAACTCTCCTTCTCAAATGAACTCTCCCTTCTCTCTTTCGTCCCGCTGCTCAAGTTCTTTTAAGAGCATATGCTTTCCATGGGAGCTTCCAAGTAAAACTTTTTGGGTGGAACAACGATATTTAGTATGAAAAATATAAACTCAAAACTCAACCGCCATAATTGGTGTAAATTGATTTTCTCACATATATATATATATATAATTAAATCGAATTTGTTTTTTCACAACTATCTCCTAATTCAATTTTCTCTGAAAAAATATGACCTGTAAATATTGATGAAGAAGTCATTTGTAGAACATACTCAATGGATTTTTTTATGTATTATTTAATATAATTATGTCATTTGAGAAAATATCAATCGTTTATAGTTAAATCAATGATGATAAAAATAAAAATTATTAGAATAGAAAGTGGTAAAAGATAATTGTTGATTCATTAATAATTAAAATTATCTCGCAGGATTATATTAAACATACAAAAATTTTCAATGTAGAAATGATTCATGCTGTATATTCTGTCTTAGAAACAGAGATGTCCAGTCCGATGGACTGGTATGTTAATCTTGGATATAGTGTCCTCTTCAAGGTATTTATGAAGGAAATATCCTTGAGTCAAGCAGATCACTGTGCACAATGAACGAATAACGATTTTGCCAATGAGAGTGTGTGTGTGAACAGTGACAACATAACAGTAAGAAAGAGCTTAACGTATCTTTAGGTTTTACCTCTTATTTATAGGATTTACCTGTGGATCGTAGAATATGGACCCTTGATACTGATAAGGGTCCAAGCCCATCTGTCATGTTGTCGTATTAGGATTAGCATCCTTGATGGATTCCTTTCCATAGTTATGCTTGATTTAAATCTTGGATTGTCCCTTGTTGGGCCCGTCAATCAAAGAGCCCCTTATACGAGTCCATAACACTGTAAAACTTATCTGATCTTATAAATTATTAAAATGTTAGAATCTTGGTTTTCAAAGAATTATTAAATTAATAAATTAATTACCAGATTAAATTCTGAATTTTCTTTGATATTATTAAAATTAATAATTAATTATCTAATCGAAAACTTGTGTAAGCTTGCAAAACAAAAAAACCGTGACAAAAAATAATAGAAATATTACTGGCGTAATTTTTGTGTGCCACGTGTCAACGCTATATGAATCACGCATAACTTAGACATGAATAACTCATGGGTTACGCCTAACTTAGACGTGAATGGTTACGCATAAATTGAAAGTGAATGAGCACCATAGATCCGTAAATTAGTTTAAAACAGTTATATTTTCGTAATTATTTACTAAAACAACAATATTTTAATTTTTCCCGTATCTACAACTAGATAAAAATTGTAGGCTTGGGATAATTTCACCAAAAATAAATTACTTGAATAAAGGGGGGGGGGGATAAATACAAATACAGATAAAACTAAAGATATTACACATAACAAGAACATTAATAACCATTTTAATTAACTTTTAGAAAATTATTACTATCATTTTTCTTATAACTTTTTACTACTAAGGGAAATGTATTGGATTGATATTTCAAAGGATTTTAATGAATTGTTTTTGGACAAAAAAATTCATTGGTATTCAATTAGAATTTTAAAGGATTGAAAAAAGTGACGTGGTATTCGATTAGGATTTTAAAAGATTATTTTAGAGTTCGTTAGGATGTCTCTCTCACAATCTCACCATAATCCCTAAGATTTTTTGAGATTTCTCTATCGTAGTGTCTTCTTCTTCCTTTGGCGGTTCAACTCGCTCGAAATCGGATTCTGCCATGGAAGCTTCGTAAAAGCTCAAAGACATCAAATTTTTGAACAATTTTTATTACAAAACAACTCAGAAACAACAATCCAACAAGATTTTAATATAATCCATCTCAAAAAAGTAGATTTTGAGAGTTTTAGAAAATTTTAAGAATAATTTTTCAAGCTATTGGTTGCGATTTTTCTTGGCACAAAAAATATGTGATTTTTGTATTAAAAATAACATAAAACAGTGGAAAAATAACAGGGAACGAATAGGAAATGATTTCAAAATTTTCTTGTGCTAATAGATCACTAAAAACTTATTTTTCAAAAGCCCTGAAGCAATTTAAGGTTTCAATGTATTGATTGAAAATAACTTGAGAAATTTTTTAAACTTTAATTTAATAAAACCCATAAATCAAAATTCTAATTTTTAAGGAATACTTAATGAAAACATGCATATGATATATGGTTAGAAAATTCTCTCCACGTAGAACAAAAACCCCAAGGTTTACAAGATCATTTACAAAAAATTTCAAATGAAATTTATCACGAATTTTACTAATTGAGAAAATTATATTAGATTTTACTTTTTTTTATTAATATAATTGCATTTCTTTGTTTCTTTTATTGACGCTTGTAATTTGAATATTTGTTAAAAATTCATATGATTTTTTAAAATCTTATAAATTCATATTGTCCTTTCAAATCTTATAAATTCTATTAAAATTCTTTAAAATCCAATCTTATGAAATCTTGATTGTAAAAAAAAAACTTTAAAGTTTCTGCAATTCTAAATAGTCTTTTAAATTCTATAAGATTTTTTATCTCAAAAAAAACTTTTAAAATCCTAACCCTTAATTTTATTATTATTAGATCAAAATCAAATCAACAGTTACATAATAATATCATGCGAGAGCTATTGATTTGATTTTAATTCAACGATAATAAGATTGCTAATACAAAATTATAAGAAAAAATAGTGGTAAGTATACCTATCCAATTAATTTATAAATAAATTGGTTACCTATGCAAGAATTTCTGAAAAAGTGAAATTTCCACGTCAGCCTTTCTTGCTGGATTGGCAATAACTCATTGGTCCTATGACGAGTAGGAGAGAGAGAGAACAGAAACAGTGTTTGTCACCATTGCAAATCTCCAATCAAGGTTACTGCAACCTCTAAGGAAACCACAGCAACAATGGCGACACGAAAGAGAGTCTCTTCAACCGAACCTTCTTCTACTACAAAGGAAAACACACAACACAAACCCCAAGAACAACCCAAAACTGTTGACCCTCCAATTGCACCTCCCAAATGGGGTCTCCTTCTCAAGCTCTCTCTTTTCTCTCTCCCTTACTTGTATCTCATCTTCTACCATTACCCCATCGAACCAGAGCTTCGAAGACCCATCATCATCAATGCTGTAATGAGCCTTGCAGGGTTCTTCGTCACGGTCAAAATGATCCCTGTCGCCTCCAGATACGTTCTGAAGCGAAACCTCTTTGGATATGATATCAACAAGAAGGGTACCCCTCAGGGAAATGTCAAAGTGTGAGTCTTTCTGTTAACTTTTCATGTTTTTTAATTTTTATTTTCATATATGTGAATTGGGTATCCGTTGAATTTTGGTTTTAAGATCTGGGTTTTTCTTTCTTTCTTTATTTCTTAATAATCATGGGTTAACTGGGTTTTGAATTTCCTTGCTTTTTGATTAAATTCATAGATTGAGCATTTTGTTGGATTTAGGATCAAATTTTCAGTGTGCGTGTGTGTGTGTGTGTGTGTGTGTATGAAACACACTTTTGCAACTAAGTGTGCGTCTCTTTGTGTGTCATATAGTTGTTCCCCTTCACTTAAGAGGTTTCTGTTCTAAAATATGAGATATATGCAATTCCATGTGAGCTGTAAGTTCCTTTTTAATGTCATACTTGTTGTTCATGGATTCTTCAACACGTCCCTTTCATTTTTTTTTATTCATTATTTTTGTATGTTGATGTTGCCTAGCACGAGGATCTCTCTTTTAAAACTTTGGATTTTGATGCATATGTTGTAAAACCTTTATGATATTGCTATCTTTCAGACTATTGCTCCCATTTGATATTCGGTAAATATGATGGATGTATAAAGATATTCGGTAAATATGATGGATGTATAAATTATAGCTATACATATTGTTTATTATACGTTGTTGGATTGATTTTATGTTATTTATCCTATGTATTTTTCCTTCATTTTCTTTGTCATTGGAATTCTTAAATTTGTCATTTTCAGTTTAGGTTTTAATTTAAGAGGAAATATACGATAGTAATGAGAATGCCACAACAAGCAAATTGTTAGTTTTGGCTGATGGTTTTATTAAATAATTGATTAATATTCTTGGAGCATGTGGCACATAGACATCGGAATTTTTGGGTGTAGAAGAGTAAGGAAACTTGGTTAAATTGAGGAGAGTAAGAGAAAGATTATTAATGTTCGTTATTGGAAGTTATGAAAAATGCAGTTAAAAGGGTTAAGTAGAGAACAAAACCTGAGATAAGGTTTATTTGTTACAATATACATTATGTACGTAAGTCATGTATGCGTAGGACGGATTCTATTCAGCTATTAATTTTTGGTACTATGTTTTGACTATGCTACATATTTTTATGCAGGCCTGAATCATTGGGTATAGTTGTTGGTATTGTCTTCTTGGTTGTGGGAATCTTATTTCAGTATTTTAACTTCACAGCAGATTCAAATGTAAGTATATATTGTAAGTTACAATTATGGTAATCTGATTGTGACTATTTAGTTCAGCTCTAATATCTTGGGACTGATATCAATAGAAGAATGGAGCATTTTATTTATGAACAATTTTAATTTTGCAGTGGCTTGTTGAGTACAATGCGGCATTAGCATGCATCTGTTTCATGACATTGCTTGGATTTGTTGACGATGTCCTTGATGTCCCATGGAGAGTGTGAGTATATAAGTTTTCATTATTTGCTTCCAGGATTTGTGCTTGCCAACTAATGCTAGACTTAAATATAAAATAATATGTTGTGTATTGATCTGTGTCAGAGAGTTACAATATATAGAGACCCTAATGGGCTTAAGTGAAAGGCCCAAACCTAATCCTAATACAGTCAGAATATTTACGGATAAGACGGAATCCAATCATATCTAATCATATCTAATCATATCATATCTAATATTCTAACACTCCCCCTCAAGCTGGTGCGTATATATCATGAGCACCAAGCTTGTTACAAATGTATTCAACCCGAGGACCTCTAAGAGCTTTAGTGAAAACATCCGCTAGTTGATCAGAGGAGTTGACGAAAGCAGTCTTGATTTCTCCTGACTGAATCTTTTCTCGAATGAAGTGACAATCAATCTCTATATGTTTGGTCCTCTCATGAAAGACAGGATTAGAGGATATATGTAGCGCAACTTGATTATCACAGATGAGTGTCATGGGTTGTTTCTGTTCACAAAGATGAAGCTCCTGAATCAACTGCTTTAACCAGACTAACTCACAGGTAGCATTTGCCATTGCACGATACTCAGCTTCTGCACTAGATCGAGCAACAACAGGTTGTTTCTTGCTCTTCCACGAAATTAAGTTTCCTCCAAAGAAGACACAATAGCCAGAAGTAGAGCGCCTGTCCGAGGGTGATCCTGCCCAATCAGCATCTGAATAACCACAAATTTCTGTATTTCCCTGATCTGAATACAACAAACCTTTTCCTGGTGCTCCTTTGATGTATCGGAGGATCCTCACAGCAGCATCCCAATGTGAATCACAAGGGGAATCAAGAAACTGACTAGCCGTACTAACAGCGAAAGAAATATCTGGCCTAGTCACAGTAAGATAGTTGAGCTTCCCAATTAGCCTCCGATAACGTCCAGGATCAGATAACGGCTCCCCCTGTCCGGGCAATAACTTGACATTAGGATCCATAGGTGTATCAACTGGTTTACTCCCCAACATACCAGTTTCTTCTAGGATATCCAAGGCATATTTCCTTTGACAGATAGAAATGCCCTGTCTGGATTGCGCCACCTCAATTCCCAAGAAGTAACGCAGCTTCCCAAGGTCCTTTGTTTGAAATGTACTAAACAAATGCTGTTTTAACTGACGAATTCCGTCTTGATCACTTCCGGTGAGAATGATGTCGTCAACATACACTAACAAATAGATACACTTATCAGGAGATGTAATCCTATAAAACACAGAATGGTCAACTTTACTGCGGATTAAGCCAAACGCCTGAACAGCAGAACTGAAGCGACTGAACCATGCTCGAGGAGACTACTTGAGACCATATAAGGATTTCCGAAGACGACACACCTTTCCAGACTCCCTCTGAGCAACAAAACCAGGTGGTTGCTCCATGTAAACTTCTTGTAAATCACCATGAAGAAAGGCATTTTTGATGTCAAGTTGAAGGAGTGGCCAGTGACGAACAGCAGCAAGGGCAAGAAAGAGGCGGACTGACGCCATCTTAGCGACCGGAGAAAATGTATCGCTATAATCAAGGCCAAAGATTTGAGTAAAACCTTTGGCAACTAAACGTGCCTTGAGACGATCAATATGGCCATCAGGTCCAACTTTCACAGTAAAAACCCAGCGACAACCAACTATAGACTTCTCTGGAGGAGCAGAAACAAGGTCCCAAGTGCCATTGGAATGAAGTGCAGTCATCTCATCAAGCATTGCTTGGCGCCACCCTGGATGGGAAAGTGCTTCACCTGTGGTCTTAGGAATAGAAATAGAAGAAAGACTAGAAACAAAGGTGAAATGAGGTGAAGAAAGACGGTCATAACTCAAAAAGGTATAAAGAGGATAAGGGTTACGAGTAGTACGTGTACCTTTTCTTTGAGCAATGGGAAGAGTCTCTGATGGAGGATCCGGAGGGGAAGAAGCAACAGCAGTGGGCGATGAGTCAGCAAGAGTCGAGTCGACATGAGGCACAGTTTTGCGACGCTGATAGGTGAGAAGTGGACGGTCCTCAGGTATAGAAGCAATAGGTTGCTCATCTGGAATAGAAGCACCTGCAGCTGGCAAAGACAAGTCAAGAAAAGGGACAGGAAGTACATGATCAACCTGTGACATCTGAGATGGGATAGAATTAAAGGGTTGTTGATCAAGAAAAGTGACATCAGCGGAAACTAAGTAACGCTTAAGGTCGGGAGAATAACAACGATAACCCTTTTGAAGACGAGAATAACCAAGAAAGATACACTGAAAGTATTTGGATGTTAACTTATCCTTACCAGGAGTGAGATCATGAACAAAACAAGTACAACCAAAGACATGTGGAGTTAGAGGATAAAGAGGAACATCTGGAAGCAATAGATTATGAGGAATGTCATTGTGGAGCACAGATGAAGGCATGCGATTGATGAGAAAACAAGAGATGAGTACAGCATCTGCTCAGAAGTGAAGGGGAACCTGCATATGAATAAGAAGGGTACGGGCAGTTTCAATGAGATGTCTGTTTTTACGTTCAGCCATCCCATTTTGTTGTGGAGTGTGAGGACAAGTAGTTTGATGTAAAGTACCTTGTGTGGCCAAGAAATTAGAAAAATCAATAGAAACATATTCCTTAGCATTATCACTACGTAGAATACGAATAGAAACACCAAATTGAGTATGGATCTCAGTAGAAAACTTTTTATAAATGGAAAATAACTCGGAACGATTTTTCATTAAATAGGTCCAAGTGCAACGGGAAAAATCATCAATAAAGGTAACGAAATACCGAAAACCTAAGACAGACAAGGTACGACTTGGACCCCAGATATCTGAATGAACACGAGAGAAAGGGGCATCAGCTCGTTTATTGACTCGACTGGCAAAAGAGGAGCGTGTATGCTTCCCTTGTTGACATGACACACAATCTAAAGACCGAAGACCGGACAAAAGAGGAACCATTTTCTGCAACTTTGAAAGACTTGGATGACCAAGGCGACTGTGGATAAGTTGTGGAGATTCTGTGAGAGAGCATGCTACTGAAGGACGAGGCACATCCAGATAATAAAGTCCCCGTGACTCACGACCCACTCCAATCATTTTTCCCGTACCCGGATCCTGCACAGAAACAGAATGGTTAGAGAAAGTAATGGTGCAAGTGAGGGAGTGGATCAACTTACTAATAGAAATTAAGTTATAAGGGATGCCAGGAATGTAATAGACAGATGTCAGGGCCAAGGTAGAGGTCGGACGAGCTTGTCCAATCCCACGAACTGGGGCTTTGGTTCCATCCGCAAGGGTAAAAGACGGTAAATGATCAGAATAAGTAAGAGATGTAAAGAGTTCCTTATTACCACAGAGATGATCGGTAGCACCGGAGTCAAATATCCAAGTGCCAAGTGATGTATAATGAGAAACACAAGCAATGAGATTACCAGTATAAGGCTGAGACTGAGGAGAAGCCTTCCTGAGAGGGGTTTGGAGTGCAGCATAGTCCGAACCTGAACCAAATGATGCATTGTCTGACTGAGCTATATTTGCAACAACAGAAGGAGAGTTAACCTCCGAGAGATCAGGAGATGCTGCTGCCATTTAAAGATAAAGTATAAAAGCTGTAAACGAAGGAAAACGATATCCAATCAAGAAGATCCACGCGTCTAAGGTTAGACCCACAGAGAAACAATCACAGATCCAGAAAGGGGAGGAGAAGGCGAGCTTCTCTGTCCAAGACCGGCCGGAATAGTGCTCACGCGCCGGCAGAAGGTGGCGCGTGAAGCCCACGCGCAGAGAAGACAGGTGGCGCGTGACGATGCGTGGGAGATGCGTTGCTGACCGGACCACCACAGACCTGGTCGCCGGGAAGAGAGGGTCCTGATCGCGTGAAGTTTGGTCGGAAAAAGTCTCCGGTTGCCTGAACAGTGATTCTGACGGCGGGCGGTGGTTCCGGTGGCCGTCGGAGGTGCTGACGCGTTTGGAAAAATCACTCAGAGGCTGTTTACAGCCCTAGAAGGCTTGCCGGAAGGACGCACGGCAAGAAAGAGGACTCCTAAGCAGTGGGCTTAGGTTTTAAAGCAAAAAACAAGGTTTCTAAGCGGAAGCGAGGGTTCCCAGAACGAAAGAGCTCTGATACCAACTTAAATATAAAATAATATGTTGTGTATTGATCTGTGTCAGAGAGTTACAATATATAGAGACCCTAATGGGCTTAAGTGAAAGGCCCAAACCTAATCCTAATACAGTCAGAATATTTACGGATAAGACGGAATCCAATCATATCTAATCATATCTAATCATATCATATCTAATATTCTAACAACTAGAATAGTTTCTTTTTTGATTTTATGTCAATGTGAAGAACAGAAAATTACTACTCCCATCAATTGCTGCACTTCCTTTGTTAATGGCATACGCTGGACACACAACTATAGTTATACCAAAGCCACTTGTCCCACACATTGGGATAGAGGTTTTGGATCTTGGTAAGTTTTCCACACTTAATGCAAATGACCCTTGAGGAGTTACTAATTATTGTAGAGATTCACTTTTTTTATTATTTTTTGAGTCAGGATGGATATATAAACTGTATATGGGGCTATTGGCTGTTTTCTGCACAAATTCCATCAATATACATGCTGGATTAAATGGCCTTGAAGTTGGGCAGACGGTGGTTATTGCAGCAGCTGTAAGTATCAAAGCTTGTAAAAGTAAACAGATTCCACTTTGGTCAAAGAAAATGATACATACTGTGTGTGGGTTTGCAGATCCTCATACACAACATTATGCAAATTGGAGCATCAACAGATCCTGAATATAAGCAAGCACATGCATTCTCTGTTTACTTAGTTCAGCCCTTGCTAGCTACTTCTTTGGCTTTACTTTCTTATAACTGGTATTAAATACTGCATCTGTATCATTTTGTTGAAACCTTTTTCACATGATCAAGAGTAGTTTACTAACAGTCTGTTGTCCTTCTTGTTCTAGGTATCCTTCTGCAGTTTTTGTGGGTGATACATATACATACTTTGCTGGAATGACTATGGCTGTGATTGGTATTTTAGGCCATTTTAGGTATGTCCTTACTTTACCTGACAAAAATTTCAATAGGGCTATTCTCCTTGTGTGTGTTTTCAGTGCTAACTAGGTATAGATATATACAGGGGACTATAAATTTGGCACATCTAGTCTTGCTTTCTGCTCTAAAGGATCAATCGTAGAGACACATATATGGTCAATCTTCATTTTCATAAGTTGAAACTTGCTGATCAATATTTCTTTTTTCTGGTCTCACTTGAATCTTTATATTTCTCTAAGAGTACTTTGGTGAATGGTTTTGCAGCATTTTATAAGAAAACCCACCATTTTTCACTTTATATGATAAATCTAGGATAATTAACTGTGAACAATGGACTCATCTCAACCATAATGAACAAGAAAATAGAGAACTTGTAATAATAACTTTCCAAGTCTATTTCTACTGCATATAACAATAGCAAAAGATACTTTGAGGTGGGGATTTTCCATTCAAAAGTGAAAGGTTATAGCATCCTCAAGGAATATTCCTTTATGTGCTCAGTAAATAGAGGGGGGTTATATTTACAACCTCATTTTTCTTATAACATCTTACATCCATTTCCTATTGTTAGATCAAAATCAAATCAACTGTAAACAAACGGCATCAATTGAGAGCCGTTCCTTTGATTATGATCTAAAAATAATAAAATGATTGTAAGGAAAATGAGGTATAAGTACAACCTGCCCCCTATAAATAATTATTTCATTTTTTCCTGATTACTCTCATTCCCCTTCATACTTCTCAAAGTTTTCCTTCGTCCATAAAATATATACGGTTATTGAATAAAGTTCAATAAAAACAGGAAAATCAAATAATCTGACTTTTTGAGCTTTGTTTCAAACATTACAATATATGCCTTCACAGATGACCTGATTCGCCATCTACTAGATCTAAGAGAAAAGCTTACAGTATAATGATAAATGTTAGCGCGTTTGTATCAATCCATTCCACTGAGATTTATGAGCTTGCATTACTGTGATCATTGATTGCCTGGTAATAATTTTATTCTCTATTAATTTTTGCTTACAGTGAAACACTCTTGATTTTCTTCCTACCTCAAGTTTTGAACTTTCTCTTATCACTCCCCCAGGTTCGACACTAACAGAATCTCTCCATGTTCTGAATTTGTGATAAATTAAAACCCTTCTGAATATGTCTGACATAAAATACGTTTTTCCAGCTTTCTGGCTTTATTCCATGTCCACGCCATCGTCTGCCAAGGTAGGCTTTGACAGATGTATCCTAGTGATTGTTTCAGGGATGTTGCATGTACTTGTTTGGTTGAAACCTCATGTATCATCTACTCATTCAGGTTTGATCCTCAAACTGGACTACTGACTGGGACAAATGATGGGACACTTGTTAACTTCTTCCTAAGAAATTTAGGCAGGAAGTCCGAAAAGACACTTTGTATTTATCTTCTTGCTTTCCAGGTGATTTCCTCAATCTTTTTTCTTTCTAACTCAGCATTCATTTTAATTTTTATTTTCCTTTTCTTTTTTTGGTTTTTCTTTCCAAGTTGCACTTGTGTTAAGTTCAGCAATATGTTTTGTGTTATTCATGCAATCATGCTAACCAGTGGTTCATATGTCCTTATCCAGTTTCACAGATAATGGTGAACTTGCTTTATTTTGTTAGGGTCTTGGGCAAAAAATTACCTAAACGGCCTAACCTGTTTAGAAGTCCATTGTTTCTTATCCTGAGTTTTTCATGTTTATGTAGTTGATTTAATTTTTCATGTAAAAAGAAAGGCCTAACATAAAATTTATTGTGAGATTTGCATATTAATTGACCTCTTTATTTATTTATTATTGAGGGGGTGGAGGGGTACTGAAGATTTGCACATTCCAACTAGATTACAAATCACATTCTTCATTTTCTTTTTTTGACTTGGATTGGATGATTAGTAGAAGTGATAAAATTTTTATCCATTTTTGTTCACCAAAAAAATAAAATAAAATAAAAATTATCCAGTTTCCATATCAATTTATAACGCATTTTGAGTTTTAACCTATGATTGTGATGCGCATACATTATGCATTGATTTTCAGTGGATACTACTACAGTTGGAATTTTGATATCATGATACATTGTTCTTATATTCTGTCTTTCTTTGGACAGGCCATTGCATGCTGTTTCTGTTTCATGCTGAGGTATTTACTTGCTGGTTGGTACAAATGAAAGCACGAAGTTGATAAAAGAAAGATATTGATGAGAACCACTAGAGAGACAGAACTTGTTGTATTATCATTTTTGTAGAAAAACTGTTTCTTGTGAGCATAGGGAAATAGGTTTTGGAGGGGAAGGAATTTCATTTTTGTTATTTAAATGTTGTGTACTAAATATCAACTTAAAGAAATAGACGAAGTGAATTTTCTCTGCAGAACATGAATAACTATATTTTATATGATCCCTTGAGAATCTATTATTATTATTATGGCAAAAAGTTCAAGACAATAAAAGTTGACTGCTATTTAAACCCTGCCATGGCTGCATGCTTGCTTCTCATTTTGGTTGTGAAAATCCCCAACCAAAGTTACCCTTCAATTGAATCATCAAAATTTGTTCAAGCAGCAATACAGCTGCATGCTTGCTTCTCATTTTGGTTGTGAAAATCCCCAACCAAAGTTACCCTTCAATTGAATCATCAAAATTTGTTCAAGCAGCAATACGGGATGCTACATAAACATTGAATTAAAAGACCCATTTACCCATTGCTGAATCAAGTGACAGAATAATAGTATTTTTCCTGTTTTCAACCTTTAGTTTCAGTCACTCAACTGCGGAATTAGTTGGGGGACTTGATTTGTGATACAACAAGCAAATGAAATCTTTCCAATGTAATATATAATCACTAAAAATCCAAGCTACACAATCAGGCTACGCTGCTGTTTCTAACAAAACTGATGAATCTAATTCCCACCACCAAAGTCCTTTAATAAATGGCGTCCCATCAAAGTAGCTTAATCAACATCCATAGCTTGTTCACTAGTCATGTTGCTGGACCACAGCTTTATGGTGCGATCATGGGAGACAGTAACAATATACCCGCCATCTGCAATCAATTAACAAGACATGCCAAAATCAGAAAAGACAGACTCAGCAGGCAAAAAATAATATTGACACAAACCAACAATGCTAATGGCTAAGTAATGGACAGGCTAACGATTGTCGTTTGAAGTTTTTATACTGTGCTACAGGAAATCTGGTATTTGATATAAAAAGGCACAATATATGGTCATCCGAAGAAGAATGAAGACCAATAAACCATGCAAATCAGGCCATAGGAGAAAAAAGTTTCTAAGAATAACAGCTGGTGCTGTACATATATACTCGAAACATATTTTCTTTGCACACTTCCAATTTCTTCCTTTCCTTTAATTTTGGCAACAGAACTTCTTAGTCCATGGCAAGAAATAAGGAAATGAATGCAGAAGGAAAATCTTAGAAACACAAAACAAAAATGTCCCCTACTGGATTTGCATTTTTGAGTTTTATTGAATTTTCCATGAAATTTGGGATTTTTTTAATCCACTAAATTGGTTTACAATGACAATTGCCCATTGCATGTACTAAAAAAAAGGAAAAAAAAAAGCATTGCAACACATCATTTGCTTTTTCTATTCATTAAACAAAGTATTCACATATATACATTACCGTTTCAAAAAATCCACTAGTTACTTTTTAATTCATCATTTACAATTTGAGGACAGGACATAGGGGTGAACATCAAACACATAATGGAACAACACATAAACAAGCAAAAAGTGTATTAAATCAGAGCTATGAATGGATAATTCCTATCTAAGATAGAAATTCTACCTCCAAGAACATCCAGAGAAGTAACTTTTGCTTCATGCCCAGATAGTGTCTTCACAGGCTTAAAGTCACGGGCTGACCAAACCTGGAGTTAAAACATAATACAAATAAGTATACTGAAATGAAAATAAACTACTAAACAACCTTAAAACTTCTCTTCAATAAAAGATTGTTGTTTTAGGTAGAAATAGAATGTATACCTTAGCTGTCATGTCATATGAGGCAGTTACTAAAAAGTAACCCTCTTGTGGCTCAAATTTAACTTGTGATATTAAATTAGAGTGAGCAGGAATGGTGTACAAGGATTTCTTCTTCCTCAAATCCCAAATGCGACAAGTGTTGTCTTCACCACCCGTGGCTAAATGGTATCCATTAGGTGAAAAACTGATGCCGAGAACCTTAAAACGAAATACAATCAGTCAACCTTATGAAATGTCAGTGTGAAATCATGATCTTGAGAGAGAGAGAGAGAGAGAGAGAGAGAGAGAGGGAGGAGGAGGAAGAGGAGGAGGGGGAATCTTTAATGTCTCACCGGCTTGACATGACCTTCCAGTGCAAGAATACTTCTCCCAGTTCGGAGGTCCCAAACACGAGCCAGAGCATCCAGTCCACAAGATGCAGCTAATGATCCATCGTGGTGGAAAGCTAAACCATATATACTTCTACTATGGCCTTCTTGAAGAAGCAACTCCTCTCCTGTTTCTATGTCCCACAATCTCCATGTCTTGTCAAAGCTAGCAGTGCCAAGATACTTCCCTGATGGATGGAAGGCAATGCGTGCAAGACGGTCAAGATGACCCTCAAATGTCTTCAAAAGGGATCCTTGATCATTCCAATACCTAGCAGTCCGATCAGCAGAGGCAGTTGCTATATGATTATGCATAGGTGAATAAGCAACATCAGTAGCACGCTCGGTGTGCCCCTTAAAGGTAGAAAATTTTCTTACTTTAGGCATGCTCCACAACTTGGCAGATCCAGTTAGAGAACTACAAAACCAAAACAAGTTAGTAGACTAGACTAGAATGGTTTCACAAGGCAAGGAAAAGTAAGGCTTAAGTTGCACAACATTCAACGACATACCAAGTAGCAAGCCATTTTCCATCGCGTGAGAAGGAGCAACCTGAAAGTGGCCGATCATCTCCAATTTCACTGAATTCAAGACTCAGATTATCAGCCTGTTTCAATGCCAAATCCATCTCTGCATCCGTATCTTCATCTGGATCATCTTTTTTTCTCTGGGCACGTTGAATACGCAATGCTGCCCTTACTAAAGAATATTTAGCAATATCAATTCTGGCATCTAGGAGAGACTTTGACCCTTCAGTGTAAAAAGGATATTGCAGTTCTTCATCAGCCTCATCTTTTGGAGCAGAAGCTGCAGCCTCTTCATCCTCAAGAGCTTTCATCAGCCTTTCAAGTTGTCCATCAGCATCATCTAGCTTTACCATAATCATCCGCAACCTGTCTCTTCTCTCCATCTCCCTCTCACCAAAGAGAGTTACGGGCTCACCAAGATGGCGAAGACGAGCTCGCACAGCCATATCATTTGTAGGAACAGTGACAGCAGCAGAACGCCTCCTCATCATGAGTTCTTGCATTACTTTTTCCTGCCGCTCTCTTACCAGTCTACTCTCTTGCGATATCTCATACTCCCCTGTACCCTGGTTAATTCTGGTGTCCGAGCCATCATGATCTGAATCAGAATCACTTGATCCAACCTCGCCATTTTGTGGCACAGGTGGCCTAATAACTGGTGGCTGAACTGGAAGTGGAGCCAGTGGCCGGACAGCAAGAGAGGGAGGAATTGTAGGGATTGGAGCTAGAGGAGGTACAACAGAAGGTGGAATAACTGGTGGTAAAATAGGTTGTATTGGATGAGGCAATGTTGTTGCATTGACCGGAGAAATCGGATTTTGACCATCAGAGGTTGGTATAGAGGATTCTGCAGTAACATTCGATGTAGTATTTTCCATCTCCACTTCCATGATTCCTAGCCAACAAAATAACCAATACGTATAAAATCAAACTGCAGTATTTTCAGCTAATCATCATTAGCATCACCTGCCATAATCCTTTAAGCGTCCAAATCCAATAATTATATGCATAAAAGACATTCACACACAAACTATCGCTCATTAAAAAAATAGATAGACAGAAAAATTAAAAGTAATTGCCAATGTCTCATATATTGAATTGAAAGGAACACATTTGCAAATCAGACTGAATTTAACATAAAAATTGCTTAAACAAATACATAGATAGATAGATATATAAAATCCTCAAGCAAAAATTTATTAAATTCAAATATGCTCTTTTTATCGTGATTGTGTGATAACTCATGCTGTTTTAGAGTAGTTATTTACTCAGTGCGTAACATCCACATTTAGCACACAAAGAATAGGGTTGATTACAAGAAATACACATCAGGAACAAAACAAATTATAGAATCATCAAAATGAAAAGTTCTACCGAATAACTCCACATTAAATTACTGGAACAACCTTAATATTACCATCAAGACTTGGAATTTTAATTTACTAGCTTTCTCAAGAATTCCAATGCCAAAGAGATATAAAACCCCAAAATGCTTCCAAGAATAAACAAACCCTAAAATATCATAGTGTATAGATAATATAGAAAAAAAAAAAATGTAGCTTATTCAGTGACCCTTTTAAAGCCCAATGCTCTAGCCTCTAGTGAGGGGGGGAAATTCAACTTGGGAGTGAAATGTCAAATGCGTAGTCGAGGATACACAAGGTTATTGGATTGTTTATTGAACAAAACAAAGAAAAGTAATAGGCAGAGAGAGTTACCTGAGGTGGTAGAACGGGGTCTCCTTCTGCTGCAAAGGGGCTTCGCTTGAGGGTGATATTGGTAGTGGTGATAAGTGATAAACGATTGGAATGAATGAAAGAGAACGAAATTTCGTCGCAAACAGGCTCACGAAATATGCTTCTTAACAGTAACTGGAACTGGAAGACTCATCCATAAATCAATATTAGACTAAACACCATTTTTTTTATAAGCTAATATCTACGAAATCCTTTTTAATTACTCACAATAAAAAAGGATCAAATTGGTTCTTAAAATTATGAAAAAAGGGTCACTTAGTCCTTATGTCAACTCCTCCGTCACTAATGTGGTCCTTTTTACATACTGTTAGGGATCAATTTGGTCTTTTTTTATTGCCAGGGACTAAAAAAGATTTCGTAAATATTGTGAGGGACCAAAAAAGATGTTTACTCTCAATATTATTAGACGGGATACGATATCATTCTTATTGTTGTAAAAAACTAGTGTAAACGTTTTTACTAGTGTGATTTTTTAAACGCAAGTAAAAAACTGTCTTTAGTAAAAGTTCGTAAGAATATCGTGTAAAAACATAAAAACGATAAAAACGTATTATCGTTTTGACCGTTTTTTATTTAAAACAATTTTTTTTTAAAAAAAAGATTTATAAAAAAAGAAGTTAAAAAAAAACCCAATTTTCGTTTTCTCCAAAATTATATGCACAATATCTTGATATCTTTTTGTTTGGATATATATTTTTTATAATTATATCTTGTAAAACTGCAATTATATTATAAGTTATGCTATGAGAATCGTTTTGTATTTTTGGATCATTGTGTGCATTGAAAGAAGTGAAATTATATCCTGATGAGTGATGATCCAAAATCTGAGTGTATGAAACAATTAGAGATGATTGATTATTCATTGCTTGTTACTTGTTAGTTATCACTGTTTATAATTTTGATACTTGGTTATAAAAAAAAAATTCTTTTTAGATAGATAAGTGGTTCAACACACATGTTTATTATATGAATTTTTTTTACATGCATATATATATAATTTTGTATCTTGACTTTAAGTAGTAAAAAGTAGAAAGTAGAAACTTTAAGTTTCGTGTCGTTTCTACATTTTACGTTTCTACGTAAAAACTCGAGTTTGACAACATGATCATTGCTATCAAATATTGTGATTATCAAGGTGATTATTATATCTTAATCGTTAATTTTTATCAATTAATATTTATTATTTTCACAAATTAAATTTTTATTAATAATTATTAATTCATAATAAATGATAATTATTGATTGACGAAAATCAATAATTAAGATATAATAGTAATATTAGTAACAATATTATTTGATAGTAACAATATCATATTCCTTATTAAACTCGGCCGGATTACAATTATTTAGCACTTGAGATAGTGGGTCACTAGTTCAATTTTAGTTATAGATTTAATTGCATGAATTAATAAGTATATGTAAATTTATAATTTATATTAAAAAAATTAAAAATATATATAAGTAATATTAATTTCAAATATTTTAATTTAAAAATAATAATATAATAATAAATTATATATTATTATCCAATAGAAGATTAAACAAACATATAATGTATGTGATATTGGTGCTTCATATTCAATAAATGACATCTCTAGTTATAAATTAAATCAAAATTTTTTGCATAGTACATAATCAACATAATATTAGTGTAATATTAATGTTATAGGTACGTAACGTATGTAAGTCAATAAGTAATAAATCAGTAAAAATGTTTATAAAAAAAAAAAAACAAATCAGTAAAAGTTTCAAAAGAAAATAAACTATTTGTGAATTTTTAAAAAATAATATCCTTTATAATTTTTTTATGAACTGGGTTAGTTCATTGGTTGAACCAACCGGATCATCAATTTTCCCAAAAAATCAACTGGGTCGCACCAATTTTTTTACTTAGCCGATCCAACATAGAAATCAAACCGATAATATGACTGATTACCAATTTTTTAGTCGACCCGGGCTGCCAATCCGATTTTTTCAACACTGCTATAAACCATTTCGCCAGCTGAATGTGTCTATCTTGTTGCACATAAGGGTCGTCATGCCAACAAAATTAATAATAAAAAAGATTGAAAATTGTCTGATAAAATATAATTAAATTCATTTGAAATTTAAGGTACTACTAAATATAAGAAATCTTACACAAAATATTGATAATCGATTTACTTACATCTAATAATTCAAATATCTAATAAATCAAAGTCATTAGATTAAGATCAACTATCAAGATTTAGAATATAACTTACACCAATATAAAATATTCTGATACTAACATTAAATCTTAAAATGGACTTATGATGTTGTGTCTTGGTGTTTGACCTTTTGACCTATTTGATTTAAAACTTAATTTTTTTTATCAAATGAGAAAATTTTAGGTGCAACAGTAGTAGGTACATTCATATTAAAAGGGAAAAGATTTTGAACTTAAAAGGAATTATAAAAGAAATCATGGGTAAAGATGGAATTTCTTTTTCCGTTTTAGTAAAAGAGAGTACCAAGTTTGGTACTCTCGAAGCACTTAAAAATTTTTCCTATCAGTGGTGCATCGCGTAATTATGACAAACACTCGTTCATCCATGCATAATTAGAGGTGGCAAAGTGGATGATCCGTCCCTCCTTGCCTCTCTTTTGAGAGTGGCTAAAAACTCAGCCTTCCTCACCATATTTGGCATCAAGGCAGGTTGGCCCGCAATCTGTTTTATACTGACCTGCCCTAACCGACCATCAATCCGTCAAAAAATGAGCCAGTCCGTCCCGTTTCACTTTTGTGAGTGACTGTAAAACTCAGCCCGCTCAACTCTATTTGGCAACGGAGAGGGTAGGCCCGCCGAACCGAGTCCTTTTTGTCAGCCATATGCATCATGCAGATATAAGTAGTGTGTATCTAAACATATGATTTAAAACGTGCATATTTTCAATACATATCTCATAATATTATTTTAATAAAATATTTAAATTTTACATTAATCTGTTAAAATATTTTAAAAATTGCATTAATTCAGTCAAGATATACTAAAATTTGCATTAAATCCTTTTTTCTTGTTTGTAAGACCTCACATAACTAGATCATGGCCCAGTGCCAGAATTCACTCCACAGCCCAACAAAAATGTGAATGAGTAAACTTCTTTTACTTCATTTAATTTTGTTTTTATTTCTCTCTTCATTCAAGTCTAAAAAAAAAAATTCAGATAGATACATAATTTTTATATGGTAGAATTCATTATCTCAATCTTATATTTCATTCATGACTTGAATGCAGCGAATAGCATGACGCTTTTTTCCATTCTTTTTTGCCATAAGTCCGGGTTGCACATTGTCGTACCATATTTTTTTTACTTTTTTTCTTCGCTCACAAACTTTAGTATATTAGTGGCAAAAATAAAAATAAAACGCACAAAGAGATTTAACCTATAATTTATCAAAATAATTAATTTTTTTATGAATAAATAATAATTTTTTAAAATAATAAAATTAAATATAATAAATTGTAATAATGTTTACTTTTCATAAAAAATATCTAAATTAGGTTATTATCATTTACTTATCACGTGTCAAACAGTTTTTTTTTTTTTTTTTTTTGATAACAACGTGTCAAACAGTTTCACTTATGCATACATTGACATGTTAATCCCGCTATTCATATCAAGTAAAAGTTAAAGATATTTAAATGTTTTTTTTTTTAATTTGAACTAAGAAAAGAAGTCTCAGTCAAAATTATTATTTTCTCAAAACCAATTCCCACATGCATAATATAAATCATTTAAAAACTTAAAATAAAAAGACAAATCACAACTAATTTTATACTTTAAAAGTTCAATTTGCGGTTGAAATGTCAATCATGTCATATCTATGCAAAAGAAACTTTAGAAAGATGAAATGTTGTGCCACGTTTTCCCTCGAAGTGAAAGAAAGAAAAAATTATCTTCAAAAAGAGAAGTGTTTTTTCAGCTACGGGAGATGCAATATCCTACAATCCTATAAACGAAATAAAAATTATCTTGTGTGACAATATAATATCTTTTTGTACCGTTGGAATCTATAAGTCTACTATATTCTCTCTGGGGGATGGAGTCTCTGTATGGGTTATACCTCTAGCAAAGATAGGGACCAAGCTAGGAGATATTGTTCCAAGTATGATGCAAACATATAACAATGGGAGTTTGGGTGTGTGTAAGTGTGACTTAATGTAAATGGGCAGAATAACAATACATAAGATACCTTTACTTGTGTGAGGAAAGGGGTATATATAGGGAGAAGAGGGCGCTCCTCCTGTGTGGGTTGGTGAGGAGGGAGTCAACCCTCCTTGAGATCAGCTAGGGGTGACTGTGTCACTGTTATGATAGCAGTGATGCAGCCCCTGTGCCTGGCGACGAGCCTGGCCATGTTAGGGTATGACGATAGGATAACTACTACTTATAGTATCTGGGGCGGTCTCTCAGGGGGTTGGAATCCCAAGGTGAGACATTTTGGTGTCTCACTTAGGGAGTGCAATCACCTTGCCGATAGAGAAGTTGGCGGGTTGGTAGGGCTGACGTGGAGGGTGGCAAGAGAGTTTGGGCGTAGGCCATTTGGCAATTATGGCGTTGGGCCATCCGGAACAGGAGCCCCCAACTTGGTATCAAGCGTAGCTTGGTGCCAAGGTAGATTGCTTTAGGCACCCCAGGGGTGAATACAACGATCCGATAGGTTAGCAAGATAAAACGCCCTTGAGGACTTGACTGTTAAGAATTTGGCGACTTGGATGGGGTTCCGCGTTTGGCGATCTGAGAGGCTTCGTGTCTGGTGTTCTGAGAACTTGGTAGGGCATGTGGCTCGTGAGAGGCTTTCTTGGTTGGCCACGTGTCCTCCGCAGAGAGGGTGGCTTTTCGGTTTTTGAGGGTTTGTAATGATGGGAAACTCCATCTTTGCAATTAACTGCAGACACCCTAACGTCACGAGATGCGGCGCATTAATGCGATGTGAGGGATGTCTTGTCTCCCTGAAATTACCAGAAAGTCCTTCATCACAACCGTCATTAGTTCAATGGTTGTTCCCATCCAACGGCTGATGACCGTGAGACGCTACACGTGTATGCTGGGTATTACCCTGAGGCTCT